TTAGCATCCCTCTTCTCTGATAACGTTGTGTAGTTCTACGTTTGTAGTCTGAGCAGTTGAGGAAATAATCTCACCAGGACATTTTTTGATAATATCATCTTCACCAAAAGCTGGGGTTGGAAGTGTAAATGGAGTTGTGTTTTACACTAAGTCAACTCCTGATTAAAAAGTCTGATTCATTCTCAATTCTGAAGCTCATTTTTAAAGCTATGAGGAAAAATAAATACTTAAATCTACATTAAAACATTTAAATGATAACACTAAAATATCTTCAACTTTGAAGTTTATTTGACAAAATATCAAAACATCCAGCAGTTATCATCATCATCATCATCATCATCATCATCATCATCATCATCATCATCATCATCATCATCATCATCATCATCATCATCATCATCATCATTCAAGGAGTTGTTTTTAATTGTACCTGATGAAAGTGAGTGCAACATTCACACTCTTAAGAAATACTTCAACCACAAAATTACCATTTTATTTCAATATCTCATGCCTCATACCTTTGTTTCTTTTGAAAAAAACGTCAAAAACGGAGATAGATGCATTGAAATAAATGAAGGCCGTATTTAACAACATCAAATGTATATCAAAATAGTATAAAAGAAGTCTCATTTATCCGGTATTAAGCTCACCACTTCCCAAATGCACAGTTTTTTTCTAAAACATTACTATTTAAAACTTAGCATAAACAGTACTTGCAAGGACGGGTAGTGTGAGAGTGTTGGTGCTTAAGTGTTGGTTGAAGGTTGAGCCACTGTGCACATATACACCTAAAACGATTCACTAAATCCACACTCAAGCCACCCAGGACCTTTTTTAGTATGTGAGCTGATTAACGGGGTGTTAAAGTGACTTCCTGTCATTAATTGGACCGTTGATTTTTACACGCTTAAAGGTCAATAAGCCAGAAGGACCTGATAAAAGATCCAGTACGAACAGAGACTGAATTAGTAACATGTTTGCTCAAGATAGTAGGGTGTGTGTGTGTGTGTGTGTGTGTGTGTGTGTGTGTGTGTGTGTGTGTGTGTGTGTGTGTGTGTGTGTGTGTGTGTGTGTGTGTGTGTGTGTGTGTGTGTGTGTGTGTGTGTGTGTGTGTGTGTGTGTGTGTGTATTGCCTATCATTAGAAGGTATATTCTGAGGAATTTTAGTTTAGGTGATCCACAGTAACTATAAATCAGCATATCATCAAAACTGTGATGGCCGCACCTGCTGATTAAATGTCAGTACATTTCTTTATAATTTACACTTAATGTTATAAAGTCTGACTCACATAACATTCTCCTGTTCTTTCTACTTTAAGTGTTTTGACTACAGACTGATGTCTGCAGGTTAGACATTCAGAGAGAAAAATCCATCTTGCTTTATCAGTAACATTTACTTACATACCACATTGACAGAAACGATTAATTATTCTTTAAAAATCGAACAACGGCACAAAACAGAGTAGTGATCTGTTCTACAAATAACATTCAAAAATGATCTTGGAGCAAAATGTACTATTTAAACAGACCAATTATTGTAAGCAGGTGTGATGGAGTATCTGACGTCTTTACTGTCAAATGTTTTCCTGTCATCTCTCTTCTGTGCACTTAAAAAAAGCAAACCAATTATTACTCAGCCTACCTATTACTTAATCATGTCATCCTTTACTTTCCAAAGCCCTTTCAGAGCCACACAAAACTGTTTTCACAGGCTTAAAGTGTCCTCATGATGAGTGAGTAAATTGATGGAGTGCCCTTTAATGTAACACTGTTGTGTATTATGTAAGTACTACAGACTGTAAAGAGAAATACTATCAGTAACCCCCGGTAATATCTTAATGAGTTTTATAAATCCCTGCAGGGAAACACATTATCATCATAATCATCATCTCACCTGAGTCATATTTAAGGTATGCGGTCCTCTTCCCACTTGTATCCGTTACATTGGCTGCATGTCTCGTCTCGTTTCTTTTTCCCATGCAGGGCGGTAAAGTTGATTCTTTACAAACTGAACAAATACAAGCTTTTCACTCCTCTGCTCAAAGATTTAAAACAACTTCTTCTAAAAGCCCTTTGATAATCACGGCTTTTAGGTGAAAGCCTGATCCCACACACAGCAGATAATGATTTCTATCTGCGGTTCAATCTATCTTGCTCCCAAAGCTTTACAACTAAATGAAGTGTTGTCCTGATGAATGAAGCAGGTGCAAACAGGTTCATGAGGGGCTTTAGAGTAAAGGTTTGTTTAGTTTCTCTTTTTCTAATGCCGACCTTCTTTCAGTTATAGTTTAAGACTCTGATGTCGAAGCTCTTTGGTAGATTTGGGATGACACAGGAAGGACATCAGATGTGTCCCCTAAAACAGGGCCTAACAGGACTCTGATGCAAGGCGCTACGAGGTGACATAATGAAAACGTGCCAGACAAACTGAAAGTGGGTACAATTTAAAAAGCATGATGTAAATATGGCATTTGTGTTTGTTGCATGTATTAATTTGAAGAAGGCTACAGTCCTTTCAATGTTCAACACAAATCTGATGTTTTCAGCAGCCCATATTTTGCAATATTTGTAGTTTTTCTTTAATTTGTCAGTTTAAATCCTGCTGTTCCTCTCCATTTCCAATCACCTGATCTTCCCTCCTTGCTCACCTGTGCCCACTTCAGTCATCATCATTGTATCTAAACCTGCCCACTTGTCTATTGTGTTTCAGCCTGGGTGGGAGTTAGCGTTAGTTTTTGGAAGATAAAACCTTTTCCAGGATTTCAGGAGTAGAAAGTCTTTGTAGTGCCAGAGCACCTTTAGGAATTTTGGTGTTATGGATTTCCATCAGCAGATTACTCTCAGATTTGCGGATTTGTGGTCACGGCATTATGTCAGGTCATAGGAGCAGCTGAGAAACCAAAAAGCTTCCTACAAGAATTCCTCTTTTTCCACGTGTTTGTCCCCTTTATACGTCTCACAGCATGAGGACACTTTCATCGCTTAGTTGAATCATGAATGGCAAATGCTAGCATGTTAGCATGTTTTTGTTATTTATTTAACTGAAGCTGCTGCAGCCTCTGAAACATTTAACACAATGTCATGAATGTAGGGCCAACAATTACTTTTACTATCAACTATTTATTGTTATGTTTTGATGAATCAAGCAATCGTTTAGTATATAAAGTATCGTGGTAATACAATTACACATTCCCAGGGCGCAAGGCTATTTATATGGTTTGTTTTGTTCAGCAAAAAGTCTAAAAAACTGAATATATTCAGTACATCCTAAGAAAAAGTAAAGACGAACATCCTCATCTTTGAGAAACTAAAGCGATATTTATCTTACACTTTGCTTGAAAAATGAATGAAAAACAAATCAAATGTTCTCTGGTTGCACGTTCAGACAAACAGACCTGGTCAAAATGAAGTTTCATTGTACTTGTCCTTTAGCTTCTTTTATTGGCATTTTAACCTGCATAGCTTTTATTGTGCAAAATAGACCATGACCTTGAACTTGATCTGCTGTTTGCAGCTCACAGAGGCTCTGACGAACAGAGGAGGGGCTTGAGGGTAAAAAAGAAAACCTCATAACAACTCACCGCTTCACTAAGTACTTCAGATGTGACATACAAATCGGAGCGGACACTTGCCCACCCAAAAAACACGCAGGAGTAAGGGGGGGAGGAGCTCGAGGTATTGTTCTGCTGTGGCTCGAGGTGGCCTGACACACGCCCTGCTGAACGCCCCTCCTTATTGGCTGCAGGTTTCCGTGGCAACAATCAACGGCAACCGCTCCCAGGAAAAGTATAACAAGAAAGTAACCTTCATGACCCCTCCTTTAACACACACACACACACACACACACACCAGTTTGCCACTATAAAAATCCTTTTTTTTTTAATATAGAATAATGTATTTATATATTGCACTGCACATTTTTCACAATTTTATCTTCAATTGTACTTTTATTTGATTTTATGGCCTTCCTGTCTTATGTGCACTCTGTACTGTAAACCATCATCACGAACAGGTTTTCTGCAGAAAATATGCAGCAGTAAAAGTTTTATGTCATGTTTACAGCAGTGAAGGAACACCAGCCAGTGAGTTTTCAAAGGATCAGTTCATTCAAATTAAACAAAAAGTTAATGTGTTCCTTATGATTGTTTTTGTGTGAGAACTGACCCTTTAAAAAGGCTCGTTTGTGAGAGCACAATGTTTTTTATCATGTATTGGTGTTACAGTGTTGTTCCAAGAATTAAAATAAACTGCATAGATATTACAAGATCTCTTACAAAGTCAATAGCGTTAGTTGTATAGTTTTTTTAAAATAATGTTGTAGACAGTTTGGTTTTTTGATTGAGTAGGTAGTCAAAGTATAACCCCCAAATTGCAACCTTTGCAGGGGTCATAGAAAATGATGACTACAATTCCCACAAGGCCGTAGCCAATTAATTGAGACAGATGTGGGCAACTTAAAGCTGTCGATTGTGCTTAACCTAAACCACGTTATAATTTAAGTTCGCTCATCCTTTTATTTGAGGTTTGCCTCTTTCGATGTGATGCGTTTTGACTATCTTGGTTGAATGAAAAACGTTTTTTTAAGCAATCAAAACATTTGAATCTGCATTCATCACCTCTAACATAAAAAATGATAGCACTACTCTTTGTGCAATCTGAGCCACTGGCTTTGCATGTAAATGTTGATTTAAAAGTGTTTTAATATTGATTCAATATAAGACAACATCAAGATATTTAAGTGACATTTTCTTACACACCTTATATGTAGGAAAAGCATAAAGCTGCATGAGTATGTAAAAAAATTACTTAGAATGTATTACACTTAATTACTTTCCACCTCTGTCTTCAAGCAATAAGGACATGGTTGAACTTATCTCTGCTGCTCTATCTCCCTCTAGTGGATATGAGGGGTGAGTGCATGCTAAACAGAAATGAAACAGTTTACATGTAAAGGATCCGTACTGACACAAAAGTCCGTACTGAAGAAAAGTGCTCTTGTACTTCATCAGTTGAAATGTTTATTATTGCATATAGTGCTTCTCCCATACACAGTGCAAACTGTAGTCTGAAACTTTTGCATTACAAAGAAATGATATAATAAAAATCATACTGAACATGTCCACTACAAGCTGCATTATTAATGTGGGTTTAAAACAAAATGTTAGCTACCTTTCAACGACATTATCTGGAGTCATAGTTTAAAAAGACATGATAGAGACGTCTCTTATAGACAGACAATACTTTTTTGATGAAAAGTTACGTGTTAATTTATTGTGATCCCAAGACCAAAAAAGGGCAAACTTGAAACAGACGATAAACTTCAGGTGTAGTTTCTAGTTTATGCATCATCTCCACCGCAGAGCAACAGTAAAGCCTTACTGAAGTCTCCGCCGGTATCTCCCTGTAACACACACATTAAGAAAAGGACAAAAAAGCGTTAAATTCATTCAAATAAAGCCTTGTTTTGCATACTTGTGAGGAGAGCAATAAGTGTGCGTGTGTGTGCGTGTGTGTGCGTGTGCGCGCGCGTGCGTGTGTGTGTTTGTTTACCTTGATCATGGAGAACAGAGAGCAGGCGAACAGCTTCCTGAACTCAGTTCTGACGTCCATCAGGTCGATCTCACTGCGGGTCACCATCGCTCTGATCAGAGTGTTGTCATCAGTTCCTAAACCCTGCAACAACAAACACAAAAACATTTCTTAGAAACAATATATTGCAATTACATGGCAATTGACTGTATTATCACCTCTGGAGGATTACGGAAAAAACAGCTGGCCCCATTATTTATTAAAACACTTGGTGAAAGGGTATAGCATAGGCCCGGAAAACGTGCATTACATTTAAGAGCAAAACCTAATCACAGGCGGATACCCATTATGTTTCACTTTTGTTAAAATTTCAAGGAATGCCATTTCTTGTCGTCTTACCTTCATCGAATAGTACAGCGTCTCTGCAAAGTAGGCTGGGACGCTCCTGGCGCACTTCACTTTAAATCAAAAACAGAAAAGATATAGAGTTAACTTGTTATAATTATTATTCATTTTAAAGCCACCACCTCTCAGGCAGCTGACATCAGAAGCATCCGGAAGCAGATTTCGTACCGACGGCCAGAAGAAGATCCTGCAGGCCTCCAGATGTTTCCTTCTTGATGCTCTCCTCCATCTCGAATCCAGACAGCTTCATGTAAGCATCAAATACTGAAACACACAGGCACAGAATTAGTCTGAAGTCTGAGTGCAAAAACAATCACAGGAGCTTTTATAATTCTTCGCACACTAACACTAACCTTTCCTAAGATGTTCTGGACTCCGGTTTCCCAGGATGGTGACAAACGTTTGTTCATCAGTACCGAATTTGTGCTCTCCAGCCTGGAAGAGGGTCTGTGGACACAGAAACAAAAAAGGCACATCATATACTGTTTGTCCTTTGGAATCAGAAGGATTCAAGGAACTCAAGTCTTACTTCTTGTTACTTCTACTACATTACATTTCAGAAGAAAATAATATTAGTTGTACTTGTGATGAAGAAAGGGAGTTGAAAAGATTTTCTAGGTCACATATTAGATAAAAGGAGTCCGAGAGAATCAGCGATACTATTTATAGAAACTGCTACTAAACGAGAACAATAAGGCCTCTTCAGTACTGGGGGAAAGTATGTTTATACAAAGGCTGTTCTGAGAAAACACTCAGCAAAGAAGCAGTAAGATCTAAAAAAATATATGTTTACTTATACCATGACCAACCTCTTCACAGTGACTCTCTGCATTTTATAATCTATATTAAAATCCCTCCACTAGGAGGCGTCATAACATAATTATATAATCAGCTGTATAAAAAAAACTGCCTCCAGAACACACATGCTTCAAAGCAAGCATTAACCTCTTAAGCACGGCGGTCCCCCCATTGGACCCCTCCCACCGTTTTGTTTTCGAGATAATGTCTCAGGGCTTCTTAACATTTATGAAACTATTAATGTGTAGCACCAGATTAACGGGAAGAATCTCAGCTAACTGAAGATATGAACCATTTTTACCAAAACAAAACACAAGTCTCATAAGAAGGGTCTAAATGACCCCTGAGCGAACAAATTCTAACGCACTGCGGCACACAATTCAAGATAAAAATACCCTTATTACTTATCGTAGCTGCACATACAATATAGCCGATTAAAGCTGAGACTCCACTGATTATTTAGGTATAGTATCATCACTGAGCGATCCTAAATTGCGACGGCTGAAGCAAACACAGACATCACAACACGTACCTTTACGGAGCTTTTACGGCAGATCGTCTCACCGTAGTTGTCAATTAGGTCAAAAGACGTGTTCAATGGCATTAAAACGAAAACAAAAAAATCTACAACTGTTGATCCATAGGTTGATAATGTACCTGTGCCTTTGAAAAAATTATTTATAATCCATAATTTCATTTTTTATGTAAAAATCAGAGCGGAAAAGTTAGCTGCTAATGGTAGACACCAGAGTGTATGCAGCTTCCGGTTTTGGTCACGCGTCACTCTCACTCCTTATTTGTTAACGTTTTGGTGTGTATATAACTTTCCCTCGATTCCATTGGCTCTATCGGTTATAAAGAGATTTCATTCATCAAAATCGAGCAAAGGGGGCCAGAGATAGGTCAAATCCACCCAAATGACCCCAGAAGTGGGGGTTTTTGGCTAAATCTCTCTAAAAAGGTCAAATTTCACTTGTTTTGCATCAATCTTGATACAGGGTACTTATTATATGTTGTACTTTGGATTCCTAAAGCGTTTAGTCTACTAACCCATCATCCAAGGGTGGTTTTCACTATCTGTAAAAAAAAATGTTTGGACGGACACTATAATTTACAGTTTTTTACTATGTAAAATCTGAATTTTCTTTAAAATAAAAAACATCTATATTGATTCTGACTTTTCTAAATCCAACTCACAGGTTTATCATTACTTTGAGAAAAAAGATTATTAATTTAACCCTTTTAGAAGGGAAGATATGGTCATTTGTTCTGGGAATGTCATTTTCGAGCCTGAGACCTGAAAAACAGGCTCAGGGCTTAAGAGGTTCAGAGTGTGTCCACAAACACATGTGACAGTCACACCCTCAGACAACAAGACAAAGACGCCATTGATGGTGAAGAGCAGACATATTTACTGACCAGCAACCGAACAACAACTCACCTGAGCGTCACTGTCAATGAGCTCTGACTGGACCCCGCTCTGCCTGTTCCCCTGAGGAGAGATAACATGATAATGTGAGAGAAGAGACAAGACAAGGAGAGAGGAAAGAAGAGGAGAGGAGTCAAGGATAGAGGTGAGGAAACATGGATTTTGGAGAGGAAACCAGGAGACAAGAGTAGGAGAAGCAGAAGTGAAAATGAGAAAAGACAACGATAGAGGAAAGGAAATAAGGAGAGAACAGGGTATGAGACAAGGATAGTAAACATGAAAGAAGATAAGAAAGGACACAAGGATAAATGAGAGGAGACGAGGAAAGAGGAGGGGAGTCAAGATTAGAGGTAAATTGAGGGGGAAGGTGAGGAAACAAGAGGAGTTGATAAAGGAAAAAAATAAGGGAACAATGATACATGAGAGGTGATGAGGATAGGAGAGGAAAAAAGAGGGGAAAGGGATAAAGGAGAGCAGATGAGGATTGAGGAAAGGAGAGGAGATTTACCTGCAGCAGAATAACCAGGAGTCTCTTGAAGTGACCTGAAGTGTCACCGGAGATATCCTCCTCCAGGTCGTCATCATACTCTGAAGAAATAAACATGTTTGTGTTTCATTTCAATCCAAAAACAAGACCGTAACATTTGAAATTAAAGTGGCCTCCTCACAGCGTACAGTAAAGGCCACGTGCAAATGTTTGTGAGGAGGTGCAACTGTCTGAAGAGGGCGATATCATTCAATTGTACAATGTGCCATTGTTTCTGAGGCACAAAAGATCACTTCATCCAAATCAGTTTGTTGTTTTCTTCCAAAAAGTTTCCTTTCATTGCCAATCCTCTTCAAAGTTCAGTTTCTTATGACATTATGGGGATTCTTGGTCAGAATAACAAGTATTTTCATTTTGTTTTGCCAAGACCTATTACGAATAATCATTTGATTAGGGCATCCATTGCAGGCGTGATGTACAGCAAGTGAGGATGATCCAACCTTGCACAGTTAAACACATTTTTTACAAGGTTTTGCCTCAAGAGTTTTTTTTTTCAAAATATTTCCCCACTATCCTAACTGCCTAAGGTATTAATTAATACATACAATTGCCGTAAAACGTTGTTGTATGTAGAATATAATAAGACTTTTGCTGTTGTGACACCTGAAGGGGAGTAATACAGCAACGGTTTATCTTATCTAAAGGGGGACCCAAGTTCCCATCAGCAAAAACACGTCGGTTTGCTATCCTGGCTCCAAAATGGTGGAATGAGCTCCCCATTGTCATCAGGACAGCAGAAAGCTTAAACATCTTCCGGCGCAGACTGAAAACTCATCTCATTCGACTCTACTTCGAGCAATACAATTACTAACAAAGCACTTGTATACTAACAAAGCACTTATATACTAATAAAGGACTGGCTTATCTAAAGCTAGTTGAGTAGCACTTGAAATGTTTTGGCTCTATGAAGCCTGATGTACTTATATGATTCTGTTTTCTTCAAGTTTGTATCTTGTTGGTCAAATGCACTTATTGTAAGTCGCTTTGGATAAAAGCGTCAGCTAAATGCAATGTAATGTAAATAACAATAAGGACTCATCAGGAATTCCTAACATACAATAAGTGTGTGTGTGTGTGTGTGTGTGTGTGTGTTACCTTTTCTATAAGCAGCGACGATGTCCTTCACCTGCTGAGGTGTCCTGGAGGCCAAGATCTCCACCAGGACCTTCTCCTCTGTTCCTGCCCCCTAAAGGTCACAGAGGGGAATGAAATCCAATGAAATCAAATGTTTCCAGACGCCCTCTACAACTTAAGGTCTCAAAAACACAAGACTTCATATTTGCCATTTATCCAGCGTGTGCAGCACCTACCTTGATGGCGTTGCGGAGCGATGACACATCATAAGCGAGGGGCGCGGTCATCATGGCCACGATCAGGGTCTCAAACTTCCCCCCCAGCTCTCCCTTCAGGTTATCCACCAGATCCTGTGGTGAAGAAACATCATGTACTTCTGTTTAGATCATGTGTGTGACTGCAGTTAATGTGTAATCTTGGCATGTCACATATATTGATTTTCTGCTGATGATTCGTAGCGACAGAAATATCTAAACTGGGTCATAGTTAAGCTTTGATGTTGTAGCTGGTCATGGGGTTTAAAGTCTCACAGTAGAGCTGCAATGAATGCATTGTTCTACAGCTTCTAGTGAGGTTTCGGAATTGAGCCGTTTTAGTAATAATTGATGACATTGTAGCTAACTCTAATTCACAATTGTCTGTGGTTAAACACGTTAACTTGTCCGTATATGTGTCTCCCTTTCTTTGTGGCAACTGAAGTTCAAGTGTTTTTTTGAAATTCTAAATAACATCAAAGTAGAATTTTTTTATTAGATATCAATAAACAACAACTAATCATGGAGGTCATTATTTCCTGTGTTTTCTGATCAGCTTTTGTTAAAGGAATAGTTCAACCAGGTACAGTGACCTCTGTTAACCTTGTAGCTGAGCTAGCTCATCCCCCCATTACAAGGCATTATGCTAAGCTAGGCTAACTGGCAGAGAACAGATAAACGCACACTGGCTAGTTTCAAACACTAGCCACAGACATTTTAAGTTGGAGCTCTCGTGGTATGTGTGTTTGTGTTATGGTTTGACAGCTGTTAGAGTAATCCCACCTTTCCAAACAGAGTTTTGTAGGCGTGCTTGATGTCCTGCCTCTGGTGGTTGCTGCGGGACGACAACAGCTGCAAGATGGCATCCTCGTTGGTCCCTAGGGCAACAAGAACCATGGTTACTCAGCGACGCAGTAACACACACATACACATTACATAACAATGAGCATGCACACAATTATTCCCCCCACATAACTACAGGCTTCATTCGAGGTCAGCTGACGTGTCTTACAGTGACTCAAGTTTCAGCTCTGGTAGTGTTTATGACTCACTGATGTCCGGGTGGAGCTCCACACAGACAGCAGGGATTACTACAGACAGGAACTCACCCTTAACACTCTCTCATTGGTGTGTGTGTTTTACTACTGACTGACACACCTCCAGTATCATACGACACAAGCTAATTATTCATTTGTATGATTATTGCCACAGGTCATATGTCTCTGTTTATAATGTCTAAAGACCAATGTTTAGACGGATGGTATCATTCATTTGGAACCATTAGGGAGTCAGGGTTAGTTTAGTTTAGTTTTTAGGGTCTTTGATAAGGGTTCATTTTTTGTAGGTTGTACATGTTAATGAGTAATAAAGAAACCCCCTCCAATTTTCTATGTGTTAGTAAACATGAGTGTCTGGTCCCCTATTCTCAAGCTTCAATCATATTACAAAGGTGTCCCATTTTACATGTCTCTATTTTGTCTTAGAATTGCACTGTGAATAATCTGAATTGGTCTTACCGAGCCCCTTCATGGCCTTGTACAGGACCTCAGCGTCGTCAGTGGCATTGAAGTTTCTACAGGCAACCACAGTCCCTTTGCCGGCCTGCAACAAGGAAGAAATGAACAGAAGTGGATTATTTTAATGTATGTTTTATTTAGTTATTTATAGTTTTGTGGGGCAGCTTTATTTTTCCCAAATTCTGGACCCCTATACTATATTTCTGAATACATTCAAAATGTTTTTCAGACTGCAGAGACAGATTAAACCTTTTGCACACAAATAATACCCAACGCATAGTATTTCTCATGGGAATTGCAGACAACACTGACACTTTTCCGTACAACACTGACAAATATAGACAAACCGTATGTTTGTTTAGGTTATGACTCCTTTTGTAAATACTCCTCAGCATGATATGCATGAAAATAAGTGTATGCATGTGTGTCGTTAGGAAAGCAACGTTATTTACGCATACTACATTTGTATATGAACAAGTGCGTCGTTAGGAAAGCAACGTTATTTACGCATGCTACATTTGTATATGAACAAGTGCGTTACTTAGAAAATAAATGTATTTCGAAACAAAATAAAAAATGTTGCGGTCTATGGCCTTGTATCAGATGTAAAGTTAATGCTATAACTTTGCAAATCATTCTCAATCAATCTATAGTTTGATGCTTACAAAGAGACATCAAAGATTCCCTTATTTGTTTAATGCCTTTCCTCCTTTTTTATTATTGCAGATACTGCAGATGTATATACTTATACAATGGATGCATGGTTAAGATAGATCAAATATGTCATATCTCATATTCCCCATGTGCATAATGTCAAATGATTTCTCCCTTTATCAATATTAACATTCATGCATACATTCTGTACATTTAAAACACTGTGTCTCAGATGTGCTATGTGCAAACTCATCCAATACTTTTATCCTTTGAGAGGAACTTAATGAGTTACAGACCTCAATAAAATACATGCACATGTGCCCATTAGCTCACACATCAAATACATTTTAGAACATCATGTTCTAATTTGTTTGTTATTGCCTTGAAGTCTTGGCCCACGCCTCAGATTTTTTTTAGCTATTCAAAAATGATGGGTGATCAGGTTAATAATTTATCTGAATGTGGAAAAAAGTATTTCAGACAGGCAGAGAGATCGGTATGGAGGACAGTGAGGATGTGATAAGGCTGAAAAACATTAACTTTGAATTGATTTGAAGCAAAAGGGCTTCTTTCTGTAACAATTCTGCACTCAGTCCAGACACTCCCTAAAACTATGACACATTAACAATAAGATATAGCCCTGCTTATTCCCTCTTATTTCAGAGGGTGGGGTGTTTAGAGAGGAAAACCACAGGAATGTCTGACCCCGAAAAACTGGAAAGAAAAAAAATGCAGTGACGTCCAAAAACAAGCCACTGCTAACAACCAGGATTCTGTTTATTTCGGCAGGAAGGAACGCCAAAAAGTCCACGAGCTCTCCTCCTTAATAAATACACTCATCGCCACAAGCCAAACTAAATCTAATCAACATGTGGAAGGCTGAACAGCTGAACGAGAAGATATTTAGAAGAGAAACTCAATGCAGATCATGTCGAAAGGTTCTAGCTTCTTTAGTGATAAGTTGTTTTCTTTGAGCGAGTTCTGACATGACCTGAGGCTGGGGGTTTGTGATGGAGGTATGCTGACCCTCCATGTTTACACAGACGCTGTCACAACTGGCATCTCTGCTCTAAAGTACATACAGTGACACCAAACAATCCACAATACATGCTCGATTGCTCGTATAAGAAATAGTCAAACAAAGCATCTACCTGTTAACTGTGCTATTGCTGTCTTTTGTTTATCTTGGGTAAGGCTAGCATTTTATATATATTTATTTTACGGTCAGCTAATTCCATAAACAGTCCAAAACCAACAATATTGGTTTGGTTGTCGTTCAATGATTTTTGTTTTAACTGCCATGTTCGAGGCATTTTTCATTTGGGAATTAAAAGTGTAGTTTACATTTTGAAACTTAAAGTTACACTTCAATGGATACTAATATTTTAGACATTTTTCAGGTCAAGAAAAAAATAAAATACAAACGCAGATGATTTACTTTTAGAGAAGTAGGCGGTATATTGTGTAGTAGTTAAACTTTTGCATACAAAGACTTTAAAAGGTAATTTAAAGATTTTGTGGAAAGACGAAAACAGACACTCAGGATAATTTTAAGGACAGTATTTTAAGGATATTAAAACATGTCTGGGGGCTAGAACAGGAGTACATAGTTGGATGATTCATTTCTCGTTGCTTTTGCTCTTTTCACTGCATTTGCTGCATTAGACTTGAACGATTCAATACAACTGACTTAAAGGTAGGTAAGTTTGAGAAAACCGGCTCGATACACTTTTTGTTATATTCCATGGAATGCTCTTAACATCCCGATAGCAATGAATATCTTAAGTGCTTTGACAAAAAATCCATAAAAAAAATTCATCTGTGTAAAAAGCACGACCAATCATTTTAGCGGCCCGGCTAAAATAACTGGATGGCCTACCTGCCTGTCAGCCTTCCATCTGTGCACAAATTTATCTCGTGCCCTCATAGGTCATGTGCGCGTTCGTGTGTGTTTGAGGAGGGGCTCTATAAGGAAGTGGCAGATTTTCTCCGGTTGTGTATTTTCAAATTCTAGCGATCTCGAGCAGGTTTCTCAAACTTACCTACCCTACCTTTAAGTGAGCATTTCATAATCTTTCTGCAGAGTGCAGCAGAGTTACAGCATCACAGCTGATAATCGTAAATATAATCACATTTCTTTACGGTACAGTACAACTCCACCCTGGATCAAAATAAGAAAATAACTGTTTCCCTTTAAGAGAGGGAGGACGGCTATAAACTGCACGCTAGACGTGGAAATGGGTGTATTAAACACAGAGAGAGGTGGAGGGACAGAGACCCACCCGATTGGAAAAGAGCCCACATGAGTCATTCAGTAAACTTCCCAACTTCCCCCCAAAAACCTCTCCACAGACTCACACAAACTTTAAACTTAAAGAACTGGACAGTTTTAAGAGTAAAAGTCTCCAATTGATAACTTTCTATGTAAGATACACTTAATTATAGCAACATGTAGCTCATTGAACTCTAACTATAAATGGTTGCAAAGGAATTACTTTTTTTTGTCTTGAACAGATGTACTGCCACACCTTCTATATTTGCAGAAGATTATGGGTTAATGTATGAACAGTGATTAATCATTCTCATGTCAACCTTAAACTACACTTAGATACACGTCTTAGTATTATATAATGTGGATCAAAGTGGGCGTTGACTTGGAGTTCATAGGGTAAAAACTACAATGAGTCGGATATTTGCATAAATAGCGGATTTTAGCTAAGTCTATATTATTTAAATCGTCTTTTTTATTTACAATCGGTGTTTCTTTGTACAGCTTAAAGAAATCTCAAAGTGAAGGTGACTCACCATTTTGTCAGTCTTGTTGGTTTATTCGGGGGAAAAAGATCTGTCGGAAAGAGAAAAGAGTAATTCAGCAACAAACATGACAATTAACCAAACCAACACACATGCAAAACTGGAGACCAGATTTATTTTTAACGGCTTGTAATCCACTTCTTCTTTCTGTTATCCGGTTCCTATCTCCTCATGGTGTATAATTCAAACTTCCTCCGTCCTTTGTCCTCTGGTAGACCCCGGCTGCCCTCGCTAACCTGCCTGATGCTGCTTGACTTTGATCTGGAGGTGAACGCGATACATTTAAATAAAACTCACCGCTGATAGCAGCCGTCAAGAAGAAGCTCTGTGAGCGGAGAGAGAGGTCCGATGGAGAGAAAGACAGGAGGAGAAGAAGAACAGACTGCAGAAACCCACCCGGATAAACTCTCCGTTGCGCGCGTGATTGTGACGGTACGCGACTGTGTGCCACACCCGGGTGCGCACCAAGCCCCCAGGAAGTGCACCGGACTCTGTTCCCAAAGTTCGTAGTGTCCAAACGGCGGTACTACAAGTCCATGACGTCACCCGGCCCAGAAATACTTTTCCCCATTGACTAACATGGGGAAAGAGACGTCTGTAAATCAGCGGATACTTTTTTTTGAACTAAATAAACTACCCAGTATGAACACTAGTATATCCCTTATTAGAATCATTAAGTCCTTAAAGTTGTAAAATGCCTTAAAAGCCGAATCTAGATTTATTTTCTCTCCATTCATTCTAGTGAGCCGAGAGTGGACGCTCGGGGAGCGGGGCTTAAGGGGCGCATGCTCTGTGACTGCACATACGGGTTCTTCTGCTCTGAAAAGTCGGGCCATTTTGCCTTCATGCGCCAATGAGCAGCTCTCATAGGAAAGAACGAGACGCCGCCTCCGACGCTGTATCCAGTTCTTATTATACAGCCATGGTGCGCACGGACTCTGATCCAGCCCTGCTCCTCCTGATGCACTCTGGGAAATGTAGTTTCAGGTCACGTGGACTGGGTGAAAAAAGAGAGTCCAGTTTATTCAATGGTTTTACATGCGGGGCCCGGGTTACAAGGATAACATGTTTTGTCTTTGGCTATGCTCAGTCATTTTATCATTTGACATTATCTATGTTAAGTCTCTTATGATATTCTTCATGCTTGCAATGCTGGAGCTCATTAATGTTCCTTTGCTCACAGTTCCCCATCAGTAACACTATCAACATGCCATTCTTCTTTAGCGGTTTGTCTGACTGATGGCTTAGTTATGATGATGATTTAACATAGGTATAATGTTAATTTAAAATGTCATTGAGTACATCTGAAGATAGAAGGCATTACCCCCGGGTGTTGTACCTGAGGCCCCCACATGTAACACCAAGGCCTAGACCTCTAGGCCATATGATATATAAAGTATGAATGCCCAACAGTATCTGTTGCTGTGATGTTTTTTGGAGCGAATTCGTACCTTTAAGCACACAATGAGCGCATATTTTACACAATGCTGCTGGCCATGCTGTTTCACTTGGTAGCCTTGTATTCTGTGGATACGATTATTTATTTAGTTTATGTGTCTTTAAAAACAACTTTGAGTTGCTATAATATTTTCTTTCACTTCCTCTGACAAGTCCCACTTTTATTTGGAAATGGCAAAGAGAAACACAGTGACAGAGCCCTTCTCTCTTTGAGCAGATCAACACATGCTAAATACATATTTTAAAAGTTTAAAGCTTCCCCCATCCAAGTAATGAACCGGCCCGATCCTGCTTAGCTTCCAACCCCATTGTGGTTTGATCCATCTCCAGTCTTTCTCACACTTTGGTTCCCACATCAGTTAATGTATTAGTTTTTTTAAGTCTAGAAACAAAAATACTATAGGGCAGATTATTAAGCATTGAAACTGTAATGGAGTTTGTCTGGATGTATTTGGCGCAAGAAGGACACTTCACTTCAGAGCCTTCGAGAGCCAGATGTAAACGTTTATTAGCTTAAAACATTGTATTGTTCAGTTGATAAAACTATGTATATAGACTGCAGGGCCGGAACACACAACCTTCCTACTGCGAGACGACCACACTAACTCACAGCCACAGCAGAGCTATTGTTTGTAAGTCAGAAATTATAAGACTCATGTCATAATTGAGCTAACCGTTTGGATGGATTTCGAACGTTTGTAAAAGATTTGGCAGAATAATAAAAATGAACACAGGTGGAATAATGTACAGTAATTTCCTCTGACAAGTGTCAACACATACATGTCTTACAGCTGATGAAACACTGACGAAGTGTTGCAAAACCCAACTCAGTATTCCCAGCTTCTTTAGTTCCCAGTTGAAATATTGTGACAGGTTATGATCCTTGAACGTAGAATGCCAACTGTTGAGTTTTTAATTACATTTGTCCAGGTGGCTTTAGCTCGATGGGTACATTGATGTCTACCAACCTGAAGGTCAATGGTTCAATACCCATAAGCTCTTGCAAACTCTGTCTCATATCATATGGAAATAATGAGGCTGTGGTTATTGTGGTAAAAACAGAAGAGAAAAACAGAAGTTGGGTAAAGTTAGAAAGAAACAGAAGTGGATGACTGTAAACAAGTGTGTCTTCAACAATATCTTCTCACTTCTTCTGAAAAGTGGCCTTTCATCTCTAACTCAAACCCAATATACATAGAAGCCCAGCTGGTAAAAGTAACAGCACAGAGCACACAGAGTTAAAAAATTGAATTACTTAAGTAAAGTACAAATACCTCAAAGGTGTATGTGTGTAAGCTACAACACTTCAGTAAATCTATTAGATGTAAGAAGATTAACTTTGTTGTCTCACAAAGTCAGATTAATGACCACAAGGCCTCTGTGCATCCACATTTGAGTACCACCTGAAAAAGGAAAATATGTCACCCGACAAGATTTCAACAATGTTTGCCTTTGGAAATGTTAAATTAGTAGTGAGTAAAGTAAGTTAAAACAATGAGTTGAAAGATGCTAAAACCATCGACAAAATAAAAGGGTAGTGCGGTGAAGTGATTATTTCCCGGGTTTCACATTACACACTTGATCCATATTAAAATATTTATAAGTTCAGCTCTAAGATCACTACACATCCGAGCTGACAGACAGCAGGAAAGTCTGTTTACACAGCACTCACGCCCAAAGCTTATTGAATCAGTTTTGGTGTGAGTCTCTACCTAAGGTCCTAATCTCTAGTTTCCTGTTTCTGTCGGCTGAGTCTCTAAATCATTAACGCTTATTATCTCTATAAATCATTGGTAAATTACCGTTATTCTTTGAACTTTCATGACTGTAGCTTTGAATGCTCGCCTCTCTGTTGCTTTTGGCATGTATGGAATCTGCACCGCATGTCAATGATCACAAAGTAATCTAAGCCAAGATCAAATCAATTCTAACAAATAGATTTAGCACCAGTGGCGTAACAAGGTTGTGATTGGCCCCGGTGCAAATATTGTTTTGGGCCCCCCCCCATCGCCCCAAACATAAGCGCACGCTGATGCGCTCACACACGCACGGACATACACAACCACTCAGAAGCGCCATATGTAGGCTATCAACAATAGCCTGCCCTGGCCTCAGACCACCACCGCCTGACAACGGCACAGCGAACTAATGGCGCATTTGTACTACACAGCCTCGCTCGGTATGGCTAGGCCTCGTTATGCCTTGTTAGGACTGGCTTACTTTATGCTGCGTTTCCATTACAGTTTAGGAACTGGGGTAGTAACTATAGTAACGCAGTGTAGGCGGAGCCGTGACGTAATCTTCAATGAGAGCCCCAGCCGTTAGTCGTTAGCACTCAAGCTCACAGCTCCTCATATATGTTCAGAAACTAGACAAAAGTTAAACAAGTACAAACCACAGACTGTCTGTGTCATGGTGAATACAGTCGCTGGTTTATTTATGTCTGTATAGGCCATTGTTGTGAGTGTAGACGGTCGGAGCATATACAACGTTAGCTTAGCCAATCTCCATTCAGAAAACACGCATTTTAAAAGGTTTTTCGCCTGCCGTCTGTCTGCAGACTTGTCAAAGCATTTATTCATGGTTTTTACTAACCGGTATCAGTACGTTGTTACTTCGGCATCATTTTTTAAACGTGTATTACAATTAAATCACGGTCAAATATGTTCATTTTGTTGTAGCCCCCTTGCCAGCGATTCTCTCTCTAGTTTAGCATACTCAGCCCTGTTTGTTGGCCCGGAAAGAACCTCGATTTTATGGGGCCAGAAAATCTGGAAATAGTGCCCACTAGCCGGTACTACGCTAAGTGGAAACGCAACCAAAAACGGGCCACGCACGGCTCGGCACGCTTAAAGCGAGCTCCGCGCTGTAGTGGAAATGCGCCATAAGAAGAGGATTAAACCTGTTTCCTTGATGTTTGTCTCTGGGGAATGGGCCGGTAGGCCTACATAGACCGGTTGCTATAATATAGCTTTTGATCTTGGCGTCGGGGGTCTCAAAAGCATCATATGGTGCGTTTCCACTACACGGCCTCGCTCGGCCTCGCTTGGCCGCGCTTGGCCTCGTTAGGACCAGCTCACTTTATGGCGCGTTTCCATTACAGTTTAGGAACTGGGGTAGTATCTATAGTAACGCAGTGTAGGCGGAGCGACGCTGCTTAAAACTGCCGTGACGTCATCTTCAATGCGACACAACACACAACAATGGAGGATGTGGAAAAGATTGTTTGCTTGTTTCTTGCTGTGTGGTTTATTATCACAAGAAATAGGCAAGAGTTGTTTTGAAAGAGGCGACTTGTAGCAAGACGAGGTATAGAAGAAGCTGACGCGAGAGTTCGGGCAGTCCTACGCCGCAGAGACTACAGGACGACTTGAATCACTACTACTACTACTTCTTCTTCTTCTAGACTACAATGCTACTTGGTAAGCTAACGTTCGCTAACTAGCAATGTGTTTAGGCTCACGCTCCCTATACGACCAAAGTATTTCAAGTATTTAATTAATTGTAGCTACCACTTTTACGTATTAAAATATGTATGCTTTTGTTTGTGTATTTCAGAAGTTACGTTGCCGCCCTAGACCATGTGTTTGGATGCTCGACCGAGCTACCGAGTGGTGGAATGTGATTGTTCCATCTTTCACACACACTCAGTGGGTGGAGAACTTCAGGATGTCTACCTGTGCAACAAACTGTGGCCAGCGATGGAGAGACAGGACACACCATTAAAGGAATGTATACCTTTAAAGAAGAGAGTGGCCATCGCACTGTGGAAGCTTGCTATCCCTTGCAAAACTGGCTCTTAAAACCCTTCCCTGACACTGGACGGCTAACAGAAGAACATGTGACATACAACAACAAGATTTGCTGAGCACGGGTAGTGGTAGAAAACGCTTTTGGTAGACTGAAGGGAAGGTGGCGTTGCCTCATGAAAAGAAATGACTGTGATGTGAAACTTGTGAAATCAATGGTGCTGATGACATGCTGTGCTCTGCATAACCTCTGCGAGAGTCATGGAGAGACCTATGATGATGGGTGGGATGCACCAGCAGCAGCAGAGCCAGGGGTAGCAGTGGCACAAGGTGCAGAGGAGGAGGGCAGGGACATACGAGAGGGTCTGATGCGCTACCTGAATACCTAGAATGTATAATGTAATACCTAAATATTCATTGTATGGTATTGAACATAAATAAATCTTTTTTTTTTCACATACATGTGTTTGTCAAATTATTTAAACCAAAAAATTTTTATCAGAATTGACTATTTAGTAAATATTTGAATTTCAAGCACCAGTACTTACTGCCCCATAATAATCTAAAAAATTATAAATATCAAAGCAAACTTTAAACATAAATACCAAAGTGTAAAACACAGAACTATATTCAGCCTCAAGGTTCAAGGTTTTTTATTTTGTCATACGAACATAGCTACAGTGTAGTTATGACAATGACAATCTTAGGTCACAGGCTCCTCCAACAGTGCAACACAATAACCCAGATAAACAGAAATATAGTGCAAGTAAATATTAAGCGCTGTGCACCGCTCTCTTTGTATAGGTGTTTTCTTTTCTCTTCTTTTAAATATATAAGCAATGTGTTTGAGTCTAGCACAACGAGGGTATTACAATTGAGCAATTTTTACTACATGTATTATTTATTTATAATGTATTCTTAATACCATTACAAAATATGTAATGTTATGTTTTAGAGGAGGACCTCAAGCTAGCAAACTCAATTTCAAACAGTATGCAGAGTTGTCCTGCTAAAGACTTAAAATGTATTATTTAACCAAGTATTTATTCTCTTATTTGCTTTAATTGCAACGGATGATAAAGGTTTCACTGTACAGTGCTTTGTGGACGATGATGGTGTTTATGATATTTCTGACTGCAGAGGGACGCCTAGATGATGCCATCTTTCTGTGTGATCGCTGTTGGGTGCAATTATTTATCAACAAGCAATAAGATAAGTCAAAGAAGTACTTTATTTAACACAATTTGGGAAGTGTTTTCTTGCAGCAGCATAAAAAAAGGCATGGCATTGTACAATACAAATAAAAAAAATGTTTGTATTGCAGCAGCATAAAAAGACATGGCATTGATTATAAAAATAAACATATTTTTTTTTAAAGATAAAAAATAAACAAGAAAGTACAAATGTAAATAAACAATATAATCTCAGCCAGAGGTTATTTGTTGGATCACAGAGGCGGAGGAGACGGGGCACGTTGGCTGCCCGTTCCCCCTAGCACCTGGCAAAGAGTGCGCAGGAAGGATACATTAAAGCTCTCTGCGTGAGCGATCTCCTCCCTTCTCAAGGCTGCTTCCAACAGCCTCGCCTCCCTCGCCTCCACCAAGGTCTGGTTCATGTGCTGAGCCCGCAGGGCCCGGTCTTCCTTCTGCTGGGCCTGGTCTTCCTTCTGCTGGGCCCGGTCTTCCCTCTGCTCGGCCAGGTTCTGCTCCTGGTGTTCCTTCTGCTGGGCCAGTTGCCGTTCCTGCAGGGCCAGATCCTCTCCTCCTCGTTTCCTCTTGCCTGGGTGACAAGATAATTATATCAATAATAATTAGCAATAAGAATGAAAAAACACAGGACAGGTACAGGTCACACAAGGATATAAGAATAAAATGTATAAACAGAACAGTAAGGATGAATTAAAGAAAGTTCTGGCCCTAGATACTAGCTGCTTACTAGCTAGTTACTTTACTTGTAACAGAGCATTCCCACACAGTGGTACAGCTTATTTTACTTACTGACGATGGACAACACAGTCTCACAGCATTTCGTGTTATAGTCACGAAATTAATCTATTGATTCGTGTTCACCAACACGATTTCGCCATTTTTTTCGTGTCACACAGAACGATTTTAAAAGCAATGTAAATAATATCAAATTAGAAGGAAAAAGACATTTAAAAAAATACAGATTTAAGTATTCTGACACAGAACGATTTTAGAAGCAATGTATTTATATTGGTAGTATGTTTTGTGCCTGCACCAAATTAGAAGGAAAAAAAAGATGACATAAAATACAGATGTCAGTATTCTGAGGCTCTGAGCCCCATTTCTTTTCCTCACTGACGGCAAAAAAACTCAGACATTATACAATTTAAAATAAAAGGGATAGGGTTAGGCTTAGGGTAAGATATTGAGTAAGAACATGTTTTTATGAACCACACAGCTTCTGGTCTTCCAAGACCCGACCGGACAAAAAGACGTGTTGCAGGCACGAAACATACTACCAATAGAAATACATTGCATTTAAAATCGTTCTGTGTGAAAATCGTGTTGGTGGACACGAATCAATAGATTAAATTAATTTCGTGATTAATGACACGAAATGCCGTGAGACTGGGTTGCGATGGATGGTCTAAAGTTTTTTTTTAAAGTCACAATTCCAGCCTATTTCTTACCTAGAACCACACGCAGCGGTGTCGAACTGGCACTCGGCGTTGGTGTCTGTGCTCGTGTTGGTGTCTGTGTTGGTGTCTGTGGTCGAGCTGGAGTTTGTGCTGTTGATGTGGAGGATGTCGATGCAGAGGACGTTGTTCGGAACTGTTCCTCCTCGCTAGTCCCAATGTAATCATCTAGAACAGAAACATGACTTGTTAATTCCACAAACTACTGCAGCACAATACTATAAATAGCAACAACAACTATAGAAAAGACAAACTGAACGTAAACAATGGCACATGTGGTGTTAGCAAACAATAGCTCTAGCTAAAGCTATCTGCCTTAGCTAGCTAGCTAGCCTTCGGGGCTCCATAAAAGCATGGGTTGTCGAACATAAATGTAAGGATAAAATAGACTTATTTGTTAGAAGTGAGCTTTAGAACAGATAGGGACACAAAGCTTTCAAGCAAATAACAGAGCGTTAGCAAAAACTTACCATGCAGAGACTCCAGTAACGTCGTTGCAGAGTCCAGGCCTCCCTCCCTCCCAACGCTAGCCGGTCTATGGCCGTAAATGGTGTCCATTAGGTCAAACCACTTCCAGTTTTTCCTACTGGCACCACTCGTGTTGTTGTTGTCCTTTACCAAGCGATATTTACTCTTCATCTTTTTGAGTTTTTCCCTACACTGCACGACAGTCCTTGAGTAACAGGACATTAGTGTAGAGACCTCCCGAAAGACTTCGATATTGCGAGTTGTCCCGTCGAGCTCCCGCTGGACCTTATCATCTGCAATACAATGGAGGAACGTCGTCACTTCCTCGACCGACCATGGTGTGCTTTTCTTTGCCATTGTTGTAGCTCCTCTGTTAACAAAAATGCTGCAAGCTTCGCTATATATATGCGACGCTAGGGATTATCTCGCGCGCCGATTGTGACGATTCTCTCCGACCAATCAGCAGCCGAGAGTGTTGACGTCACACACTCAGCCTGGTTGTCCCCTTATACATCCATGGTTGTCCCTGGCCCAACCTGGTCTCACCAGAATGCGTGACTCCACCACGACTCCTTAACACCGCAGTGCATGGTGGAGTCACGAACTTTGCTACATTTACTTTACAACAACCCCAATGTAAAGTGAATGAGGCTCCTTTGTCGTGGTGCACACACGCATTTCTACAACGTCCAGCATTGAGCTTTTATTCTATAAAACGTTTTTAAAATCTACTTTATAGCTTGTAGTAACTCACGGGAGGCTTCTTTTATTTTATTTGTATTCATAATCATTTTTATTTTTCGTCAGAATGTATTATGGTGCATTATTCACCAATGTTTGTTCTAAAAAAACAGTGCATTGTGTGTAATACAACTGTGATTTTTATTAAATTAGTTAGTTTTTAAGGAAGGCCAGAGCTTCAGCTGTGTCAAATAGATTGTTCCCTTTAGTTAACGTTATTTAAAAGATAATTATATTCCTATTTGATCATGTCCCCTTTATTGTATTACGGACCCAAAGAGCGATGAGCGTCCATTCCCATTGGATAACGGAGGATTTTACAGGAAAGTTGATTGTCAAGTTCCAAAACAAACCATGCAATATATTAGACGTTAAGTACTTTGTCAGGCTTAATATCTGTAGATACCCCCAAAGCTTTTTTCTTATTTAAAAGAAGACCTTAACCTAAAGTATTCTTTAATGTTTAAATAAAGCCTTATTAGTTTGTCTGTTTTGCACATCCTCCTATCAGGCACTAAACTGTTTTATTGTAGAGATCACTTACAGTATCTTCTTGATATTTTCTATTCTATATTATTTATATCATTGACCTTCCACTTTCCCACTATATTAAGAGTATGTACTCTTAATATTTAAATGTTTTCATCAAATATAACACATTCAAAAGTGCTTTACAAAAATGAAAGACATTAAGAAAAAGGCATTTTAAAACAGTCATTAAAAAGCAACACAATCTACCTGCATTGCAATTACTCTAAACGTGTAATAACGTGCTTTAACCAGTAGGAGGTGCGGGTTAAAAAGCTGTCAAGTTTACAGTGTTAACAAAATAAAATATACTGCTGTTTCTGGTTTAGTTTACGACGGATATATTCTGTTATTGTTTTGATATTTGTAACACAAAAGCGATGTAAAAAACCCACAGCAACACAGAAAAGATGGTCTTAACATGACCCAGCGGTCTAGTAGTTAATAAAAAACAATAATATCAAAACAAATTATTACTACTAACTTCATTGTGAAATTAAAACCGAACGGTAAAAGAATAGTTTCCGGTCTATTCTGAAGCCCGGGTTGCGGTCGAATAGTCCATTTAGCTTAGGAACCTTCCTAACGGAGTGAAATGACCCGGAAGTCCCTCAGTGGCAGCCATGATAAGTGCCGTTCGAATTCTCTAAATGAAAGGAAAGGAGGTTTCAAACTTCCTTTATAACCTCCTTTAGCTTAGGAACCACTGGACCTCCCTAACCTAAAGGAGAGGAGAAAATGCTGCCCCACAATGCCTTGCGGCCGCCGCATTTGCCATCACACAACAGTCGGCCGTTCACGGAAACAACCGATTATGAACGAGAAATGATATCATGAAAGTTACGGTGCTTATTATGCATTTTAAAACGTATGTGGTAAGTTGCCAAAGTGCTTTGTTTTGAACGTTCATCAGTATTATAATCAAAAAGAGAAATATGAACGTTAGTTTTTACTGAAATGATCAAATAAAGTCAACATGTCACAGTCTTTACTGAGCTGTGTGGGGTTTGTTCAACTTTTAAAAGATGTTTGAATGGTGATATACACAGTGATAGATGTTAAGGACTAACGTTTATAATAAATACATTTGTATTGATTTTAAGATCTTTTCATACAGTCATACGTATTGGGATCATTTGTATTAATGTGGACCGGAGGGAGAGGGTGACGAGCATAAGTTTCACTTTCCTTTTTTATTTCAATTCCAACTTTGGTCATGAAGAATATGTTTCTCTGTTGTCCCCGTTCATAAAGCATAAAACAACAGCATCAGAGCACGGTGCAGAGTCTCTAGATGAGTTTACAGTAGTCCCTCGTTCTTATTAAACATCCATGTTGTAGTCCGCTGTATAGAAAACTGTAGTTTCCATAGTTTCCCCACAGCAGCAGACGCACATTTATGACCTCCGCTGGCGCGTCATAAACACGTCGGATAGTGAAAGTGCAGTCGGATTCTCTAAAGTACCGCAGTCTCTTCTCCTAAATCCTTTTGAATTCTCCTATCCACTATCCCTTAACCCCGTGACGTTTCACTCAGAGGTTAAGGAATAGACGATAGGGTTAGAACTTAGGAGCTGATTTTTGGACTATTCGACCGCAACCCCCGGTAGCTACTGTCAGTAGCTACTGCTAGTGCTTCTGCTACTGACCATGCTACAGATGTTAGTACAACATCTACAGCTCGACCATGCTACAGATGTTAGTGCAAAATCTACAGCTCCTCTACCACAACCATCAGCAACAAGTGGACATGGAGAATTACATGAACTACTACATGTTGCTAAATTCACCGTGGGGCATAAACAGAAGGGTAGCCATGGCAACATTGCTCCGGGCTGCTCCGGGGTCTTCTTCGCTGCCTTTGGTGTATTTTGTGGCGGAAGTTACAGCACCACTTACAGTCCCGGCATATGTACTACAGCGTGTCCAGCGCTTTCGAGCGGTCTCGTGTGGAAGTACAGCGCCACTTACAGTCCCGGCATATGTACTACAGCGTTTCCAGCGGTCTCGTTTGAACAGACACGTTAAATGAAACGAATGCATTTGAACGGAAGACTTTTTTGAAAACGCGTACTGTGCATAAACGCAAACGTTCCCGTGTAAAAGCAGCCTAAGCTCCAGCAGAACAATAGCAGGGATGTCTGGGCTGGGATGAAGGCTATCACTGGCTTCAAAGGGAGAGACAGACTGACTGTGGGCACCCTGGAGAGGGCCAACGAGCTGAACACATTCTTCAATAGGTTTAGCTCTCCGCCCGCTGCTGTCTCCTCTACCTCCACTTCTCACCTCACCTCCTTCTCTCAGCCTGGCGTCAGCATCCCCCCTCTGCTCACCAGCTCCACTTCACACCTCTCCTCCACCACCCAGCCTGGCTTCTGCACCCCCCCTCTGCTCACATTGCCGCTGACCCCCCCCCCCCTCTACTCATCTTGCCTCAGACCCCCCCCCTCTATCCCCCCTGCCATCAAGCCCCCCCCCCCCGCTTCACTGTGAGCACAGGACAGGTCCAGAGACAGATGGAAAAACTCCATCAAGGCAAGGCTGCTGGCCCTGATGGTATCAGCCCCAGGGTCCTGAGGACCTGTGCCCGCCAGCTGTCTCCTGTTCTCCAACATATGTACAACCTGAGCCTGCACCTGGAGACCATCTCGGTGCTGTGGAAGACGTCCTGCATTGTTCCGGTCCCTAAAAAGACGAATCCTTCTGGGCTCAATGACTATCGCCCTGTAGCACTCACATCTCATGTGATGAAGGTGCTTGAGAGACTGGTCTTGGCCCATCTCAGACCGCAGGTGAGATCATTCCTTGACCCTCTGCAATTTGCCTACCAGCCTCACCTGGGGGTGGACGATGCCATTATTTACCTGCTGCAGCGTGCTCACTCATACCTGAATGGATCGGGTTGCACTGTGAGAATCACCTTTTTTGATTTCTCCAGCGCATTCAACACGATCCAGCCTCGGCTACTGAGTGACAAGCTGCAGGCTATGAGGGTAAACTTGTCCACCATCTCCTGGATTACCAACTACCTCACGGACAGACCACAGTACGTCCGGCTGGGCAGTGTGCTGTCTGATGTGGTGGTTGGTAGTATTGGAGCCCCACAGGGGACTGTGCTGTCTCCTTTCCTGTCCACCTTATACACCTCTGACTTTCAATACAACTCAGAGTCATGCCACAGAAGTTTTCGGATGACTCTGCAGTGGTAGGGTGTATAAGGGATGGACGGGAGGAGGAGTACAGAGCGCTGGTGGGTGATTTTGTTGAGTGGACTGGTGGAAATCATCTGCTTCTGAATGTGGCCAAGACCAGAGAGATGGTCATTGATTTCAGGAGGAAGAGGACATCTCCTCCTCTGCCCCTGTGCATTTTAGGAGAGGATGTGGCTGTTGTGGAGGACTACAAGTACCTGGGAGTGCACTTAGACAATGGGCTGAACTGGAGGATCAACACTGACGCTGTGTACAAGAAGGGGATGAGCCGACTCTATTTTCTGAGGAAGCTGAGATCCTTCAACGTATGCAGCAAGATGCTGGAGATCTTCTATCAGTCTGTGGTGGCTAGTGCACTCTTCTTTGCTGCGGTCTGCTGGGGGGGCAGCATAAGAGACGGTGACACCAGCAGGATCAATAAGCTGATCAGGAAAGCTGGGTCAGTCATCGGCATCAAGCTGGACCCCTTTGAAGCTGTGGTGGAGAGGAGGACACTGAACAGGCTGTTGTCCATCATGGATAACCCCACCCATCCTCTCCACCTGCAGCTGGACAGTCAACGGAGCTCCTTCTCCAACAGACTGCTGCAGCTCCCCTGTCACAAGGACAGATACTGGAAAACATTCCTGCCCACTGCAATAATACTGTACAATAAATCACCTCTGGCTGGAAGAGAACTCTCTGCTCCATAGTTTCTCTAGAAATAAAACCACGTTGTTTATTTTACTCATATAATCTGTTCAATATTTAATACTCCATATTCCATAATGTCATATATTTTGAATATATATATATATTTGTATATATAATATCTGCATGTATATTTTCTATTTTATTTTATTTTTCTTTCTATTCTTGTATATTTTGTAGTTTTGTTTTATTGTAAAATGCCTTGTCTATTATGCTGCTGTAACAAAAACAATTTCCCAATTTGGGATCAATAAAGTACTATCTATCTATCTATCTATCTATCTATCTATCTATCTATCTATCTATCTATCTATC